AGGGCCAGAAAACAAAGGCGTCTCAGGTGAGATGGATGGGGGGTCTGCAAACGGAGCGTCCGTGTTGCAAAACTTGAACTCCGGAAAGTTATAAGAAAGACAGTCTTTTATGTCCAGTAAGGTTTGTCGGTCGTACACAAGGAGACAAGTGCTACTCGCGAAAAAATGAAGGAAAAGTAAAATTAAACACAGAAAAAAGCTGTTGCTTGGGGGAGCTCGCGACAAGGCTGCCATACTCGGCGCCATCTTGAATCACCTACTTCAAACCACTTCATTACATTTTCATCTTTCACCTGTCATTCTTAACATAGAAAATGCATTTACACACTCAGTCACATATCAATACAATTCACTTTGTTTCATTTAGCTTATGTATTTCTACTTCAGTTAGATTTGTGTTTAGCACATTTTCACATGAACATTCATTGTAACATCATCTCAGTGAGGCCTGAATCATTGTTATTCTATTTTCTGATTCATTATACTGGTTAACTTAAACATATTTACAACTAATTAACAATCAGTAAAACCACTTATAAATGATGGTTCCGTGTTTGACAGTTACAATCTTTTTTCTCTCCTTCTCCTCTTACCTCTTACATGAATCCCATCATGCGTTCTCTTTCTCTGTGACCTTTAACACAGATAAACTAGGGCAAAGGTTGAATCATTCATTACTATGATTTACTCATCCACATACTGTACTTCATTCTACATTTCTATGGATTCATTTACATGCTTCATTGTAGCCTCTATATGCTTTCCTATATATAATTCTAGATGTTTTATTCCACTTTTTGTTTAAAGTGTGGTGAGGACATATCCTGATTAACATCGACTCCAAGATTTCCAAGAGTTAAATAGGAGAAAATTCATAAACAGGACCTGAAAAATATATGAGGCCCTTCAGCTGACCCACTTTTTACTATTGTGTCATCAAAAATGTTCTTGGTGGAAAGGTGGTTGACAAGAAACCATCCTTAAACAGGAGGAAATAGCTGGAGTCTGTATGTATCAATAGTAAAAGGTTTCATGGACTGATGAATCCAGATTGTACATTTTTGGTTGAAATTGTTCTATATTAGGAGACACACACACACACACACACACACACACACACACACACACACACACACACACACACACACACACAGATAAGCAGAAGAGATGTGTGAATCTAACAACAATTTATGACTGTGTGTAAAGCTCTGCTTCAACACTGGCTGAGTGTTCTCCTTTCTAACTTTGCAGTGTCTTTATGTTGCAGTGTAAATGCCTTGAGCCAAGTGGCATCACAGCTTTAATGAATATAATATAATTGAATTAAATTTAATTTTTTATTATAATCTTTCTAAAATGGACCATGTTGCTGTAAATCTTTGGCTTTACAAAGAATTTATGGTTTATGTCACACTCAATAAGTTTCATTTATAGCCAGTGCTCATGTCAGTATAGAAGTAAATTTTATTTTTAAAATGGTAAAATATGCCTTTGATATAATCACAGTGAAATTTAGAACAGCCATCACTGCGAAGAAAAACATGATGCCATCACCCACTATGACCAAATCACTCACTCTTCCGCTTCATCACTTTCATCGCTCATCTGTTGTGATCATCTGAATATGTTTTTGAAGTCACTTGAGTCGCTGCTTCACTCACGCCTCCTTCCCCCATCTCCCCATCCAACTCTGACTACCCTCCCCATCTACCTACCACCTCGTCCCCTCATCATCTCTGCTCTCTAACTGTGTACAACACTATACAGGGGGCTCATGGGTTAGACGGCAGACCAGGTGCAGTGGTGAGTGGTGCAAGTCACATTCCAATCCCTTTCTCTTTCTCCTCTTCTTCCTCCCTTCTACTCCCAACTATTGCCTGCTTGATGTCCTTAATGCCTGCTTGTTGTATACTGTATGCTTGCTTTGTTGCTACCCATGCTTGTCTTAATATTTTTCATTCTAAAGAAACTCTGTGAGGACAGGAGTGCACAGAGTTGGGTTTGGAGGATACAGTGGCACTGAGAACGTATTATCTATATGGTGATATATGGGAAGTAATTATTTGATCCCCTGCTGAATTTCTAATTTTGCTCACACAAATAAATGAACAGTCTCTTTTATTAAGACAATAAACAATAAACCTATATATGTAGCTAGATATATATGACTAATGATAGATAGTGCTGTGATTGGATGTTAATCTCCCTGCAGACCACATGACCATAAAATATGGCAGATGCCACCACAGAGTTACAGAAGGTCTTCGGGAGTTCCCTTGCAATCCAAAAGACTGGAGTCTTCAGATACAGTCTACTTTGTCAGTTTATTGGTCAGGTCAACACCCAAGTACTCATAAGAGTCCACTGTCTCAATCTTAATTCCCTGGATGTTCATTGCTATAGGTGTAAGATGTTTCTGCCTGCGAAGGCCCATCTCCAGCACAAACTGGAGGTGGTTTTCCCAGTGTTGAATAGACAGTTTTGCTGCATCAGCCAAAACAGTCCCCATCAGTTCTCTTTACTCTCAGTCATCAGAGAATTCTTGCTGGAAGTAATTGACCGAGTTTTAAGAGACATCTGTGCTGTATTGGGTGTGTGGGGTGCCTGTACAGACACACATGTCTGAAATCCTACGTACTGATGGACGCTGGTGAGATAGTTCAGGATCCATGTAGTGAGATGATGGTCCACACCTGTATACTCCAGCTAGTCTCTGCGAGTGTGGTCAGGGCAGGAGTGGTGTTCAAAGCACTGGAGAAATCAAAGAACATGATTCTCACAGGTTTCCCAGCCCTTTCCAGGTGAGCAAGTCGGTTGTTGGTTTCTTCCTCTTGAAAGGGAGTTTTTCCTTCCCACTGTTGCCAAAATGCTTGTTCACAGGGTGTCATCTGATGGTTGGGGTGACTCTGTGTAGGGTCTTGCATTATTAAGCATGCTGAGTCGAGTGTTGTTGTGATTTGGTGCTATATAAATAGCACCAAACCAAGGGCAGCACGGTGGCACGGTGGTTAGCACTGTAGCTAATTCCAGCTTTTGTCTTTTCCCTGACGTCCTTTGAGAGCTTTGGTTTTGCCCATCATGGTGGAGAGGTTGATTCTGTGGACAGGTGTGGTTTCTACACATAAAGAGTTAAGATCAAAAGAGAATGAATGATTTATTGGAGTCAGAATTCAAATAAAATCATTTTATAATTTTGATGTAATGTGTTTTCTTCTGCATTTTTGGTTAATATTCGGTCTCTCTCCATTAAAATGAAACTACCATCATAATTAGAGGCTGTCCATTTCTATGTAAGTTACAAATGTACAAAGTAGGGGATCAATTATTTATTTCCACCAACATAGATAGCGAGTTACTATAACTAAAAAGTTTTCTTCGTACTTTGTGTTGATAGTAAATTTCCCCTTAAATGGTGGTGTACATGTACAGCAGCAGAATTGAGTGTGTGCATTGTGACCATGAAAACTTGCAAATCTTCTCTGCCAAACAACTTAGTCTGCTGTTGAGCTTCTGGTACCCCAGGTGAAAGTCTGCTACCTGATTATTACTTGTCAATGACAAAACTGATCATTGACAATCATCCATCTGTTTTGAGTATTACCAACACAAATTACCTAGAACTGTTTGGTTACAATGACTCACCATCTTAGTATGTTCATCACAATTTTCCAAAAACATATCAATATTCTTTGTGTTCGTTTGCGTTTTAATTCTTTACACAATCAGCAATAAACCCTTAAAATTTTAAGCCAACTTCACCCAATTCAAAACAGGCTAATTACAGTTTCCTGGTTTCCTTCCTTTTAGTTTGCAAGTTTTTATGTTCAACATGTCTGCCTGCTTTCCTAGAGACATGAAATATGTATATTTCCTTATCAATTACTGTCCATCAAATCTCATAACCTCTGTTTTCACTCTGGTTTTTTTTATTCAAAAAAAGATTTGAATAATGGCTTGTCTACAGGCAGTTGTGTAAGTTTCCAGAGTTGACAAAAGAAATTAGCCTGTGCATAAAGATGGACATACAAATGAAACTAATTTAGGCAATAGATGTTCAAATTGCTTTCAAAGTAAATTATCTATAGGAGGTAAGCTCTTTAACTGTATTACCATTATAAAAAGAAATAAAAACCTGTTATTCAGTTTGTTTCTTGTAAAAAGGGAAACTCATCAATGACTCCTGCTAAGCTGATTAGGTATGAAGAAATTTCAATTATTTTTTCCCTATTTTAATTAAACTCCCTCAACTACTTTTCTAAGTATCAGTAACCTGAAAATTTAAACCATAAATCCATACGGTTATGAGATATAACCACATCTCATACAGGCCCAGCCACCACAAGCACCTGAGAGATCTTGGAATTTGAAGCTGTTTATGTGTTATGGCAAGTTGTTTTCCAGATCGTCTTAACTATTCCAAACTATTCAGTGTCTTGTAAGCGATTGCCAACAAAACAACTTGCCAGCTCGTATAGAATGCCATTATAGTGTCAGTACTCCAACTCTGATCATACCTTAACAGTTTCCTGCTTCCTGGCCCTCCTAGTACCAACGTCAGGCTGCAAAGCTGCCATTGCTGGAAAGTATGCAAATAAGCATGCAGAGATACCTGTGCTGCATGTTTAAATATCATGTAGTACACGTGGACAGCTGCATTACAGACAGGGGTGCACATGCTGGATATGCCTAAGATGCAAGATCTTCCTCTCCAATCTTGATTCATACTTAGACAGAAGGCTGCAACCTTGACATTTTATTCATTTTCCCTCGTTTAATACAGTTTGGACAGTAGTTCAACAAGCTTGGTATATGCTACAAGTACCAGCAGAAAATTACCTTGTAGAAATGTTCTGTTATCTCAGATTTGTGAAGAACTGGTTTAAATGCTCCAAGATACATTGTACCAGAAAGCTTGTTGATTTACTGATTTGAGGCATTTGATGATCCTGACTATTCTGTTTGTAGATCCTACTATTTACTTTCCTTAACATGTTTTAAAGGGTCTAGTAGGACCTGCAGGTGTGCCAGGGCCAGCAGGACCAAAGGGAGAGACAGTGAGTAACTTTTTTTTTTATTCTAAAAGATGCATCGAGTTTAAGATCAGGCGGCATGTACAGGTGATGGTTTCTGTCACAACTACAGGGTGAAAAGGGTGATCCTGGAATTCCAGGACCAACAGGGCCGCAAGGCATCCCCGTAAGTCTGTGTGTGTGTGTGTGTGTGTGTGTGTGTGTGTGTGTGTGTGTGTGTGTGTGAGAGTGTGTGTTCGGGGGGGGGGGGTTAACACTGGTAACATTTTAATTTGCATTTGCATCCTTCACAGCAATATGATTTACACATCAAAGGGTAGGGAGGCGAACTGTGCTGGTGAAAGATAAGATCAAGTACTATCCATACAGTACAATCCTACAGAAGGCCATTTGTTCCTGCTATCAATGACACTGCAAGAGTTCAAGAAACAATTCATGCCAATGTTTGCATTTGTTACGCTTCAAACTCATGCGGCAGCTACACACTGCTGTCACAAACACATCTACTGGGATTTCAGTTTTGTGTGGGACGATGCTTCAGTTTCATTTTCACTCACTGTTTGGTTAAATGTAAAGCTGTTTCAAAGCTGTTTAGTAAAGATATGGAAAAATGTTTGTGTGTATTAAAAGCGTATGGAATGAGTTTATTCCATATTAACACAGTGGCATCACTTTTTTATGGAGAGTACTGTATTTGGCAAAATAACAACAGTGATAAAAACATGTGTCCTTATTCCCCAAATGCAGTCATATGGCACAGTCCCCAATGTGACATCTGATTTCTTTTTACAGGGATTAGTAGGACCACAGGGACTCAAGGGAAATCAGGTAACATACTGTCTGCAGTGTTTGGCCTATTATAAAAATAAAGTAACTAACGTGATTGTGGCTGATCATCTGTGCACACACACATGTGTAATTTCATTTATTAAGTAGTTTATGTTGGTAAATATTATTACCACAGTTGGCATTTACATCCACAAAATTGTTGTTGAAATTTCTTTCTGAGAAACTCTGACAATGTTCTTTCTAATATATACAGATAATATCTGAATTTCAATAAATAAATGTTCTCTTTGATATTATGCATAAAAGTAAAGATCAGTGAGTCATAGTTTAGGCAAAATGTTTGGTTTGCAGGGGATTTGTTTTGAACCCAATGGTCACTTGGAGGCATCTCGATGTCAGGCTTACTGTTAAAACAGTCATAATCAATTTTAGTTCCAGTGCTAATGTTAAACTATTCTAACAATATCCTCAGTGACATCCTCTAAAGCACCTTTGTTTTTAGTGGAACTAAAGAGAAAAAACTGTTTTATGAATTAAAACATCATTGTGTGCTGGTCACATACCCACCCCTCAGAGAATGCCTGTTTCCTTCCCATTAACCTGTGACAATTAATATTTCCACTTCCATTTTGTTTTATCTTTGTGGGCTCTTTCAGCACGTTCAACTGGCCACACTTCCAGTGTACACATACAGAAACCCAAACAATCCACCTAAATGTGAATATCCAGTTGAAAGTGTTGAAGCTGTGAGATTGTGTTGCTGTTTTTACTTTTTCCTATCTTCCTTTGTTTCCGCAGGTCTTCCTATCCCCTTTTCCTTCCCTTCACCTTGCTCTGTGGCCTGCAGCTCTTTTTATTGCTGGGATTGCCCTCTCTCCCTCTCACAAATTTTGGCCTTCTGTTCCTCCTCCTCCTGCATCCTAATGTAGTCTTGGGTTCCTTCTCTTACACTTACCTCTTAACTAGTCCTACTTAACAGTTGCTCTTCCTTGCAAGCATCCTTTAAGTCCCTCCAGCCCCTGAACCTTTAACCTGTAACTCGTCAGTGTTCTCTCATCACTGTAAAATGTGTCTACTCATTAGATGCTAGCACAACAAGATTTTCGCATTTCTGGGTTCATCTTTGTTTTTTAAACAGCTTGTACAAATCTAACTGTGATCAGTCTAAACCTTACACCAAATATTACCAGTGTCTTTACTGCAGGTGCTAAAAAAATACTACATCTGAAATAAACTGCTAAAAGCCCAAGCACTGGGTTTAATGGTATCCAGATGAGACGACAGAAACAAAAAAGACCGCAGCAAAAGTCATTTTCTGCTTAAAGTTACAGCATGAAACTCTTATCTCTTAATCCCTGCCTGTAGGAGCAGACACAGGTGACACAAACATTGACCTGAAGGTCCTTCTTTACCTTAGAATCAAAGTAAAGACTTTTAAGGCCTTAAATGCCTTGAAGCAGCTTGATTTAAATTGGAGCTACATAAAACTGAATTGACCTGAACTGAATCCACTTGATGAAGTCACGTAATCATTTTGAAATAGCTGCATGCCAAAGTAGCACATATAATGCAATTAAATAATGAAGACAATGGATTGATGTTCTTTATTTTGATATATATGTTAATATTGAGAAAGCATCAATCTGTTATTCTTGGTCTAACAGGGTGATAGGTTTGTTTGTTAAAAATGGTGCAGGTTTTAAGTTTAACCAAATACTTTTCCCCCTCCTGGTGTTAGATTGCTTTTTAACACCTAAATGTAGACTTCAGTTTGTAAATTTAGTCGATTTTTCCCGTAAAAGACAAAATTATTTATCAGGAATTGTCCACGATGCAAGAAAATAAACTATGCATCAAAATCCAACAGTTTCTTGACCCATCATGTTACTGTGACAAGTTTAAATGTCACTGTAGGCTGTAGTTCAGGAGTTAGAGCAGATCATCTACTACATCTACATCTGGGCAAGACACTAACGCCAAGCTCTCTAATGCATCCTTGAGGGTAAGAATGTGTGTGAATGTTAGCTAGAAAGCACTTCAGTAGAAAAAAGTGCTTGTGTGAATGAGCCAAGCTGTGTAAGCTGTACGTGCACTGTTTCGTAGTGTGCATGTTGTCCCTGGTAGGAAACCTGCTCACCAACTGCAATGGCTTACTTTTTCCTGTTTCCTTCTACTCCCTCCCACTCTCTAGTGAATTTAGATCGCTAAATCATACAAAGAAAACTAGTGAATCAAAATGACGCTAAAATTTCTCATATCATCTGTTGCATATGTCAAAAAACAGCTATTGAAATCTTACAAACAAAAGCATTTGCTTCTACTGTGGTGTAGTAAGGAGGATTAAATTTGTTCTTTTTAATACACTGTTTGCAGGGAGAGAGGGGCAAGAAAGGCAACAGGGGGGCCAAAGGGGATAAGGGAGACCAAGGAGCACCTGGATTAGATGCCCCCTGTCCATTGGTATGTCAGTAGTTCTGTGTTTAGCCATGAGGCAAAGGGAAGAAGCAGCAAGTTACTCTCAGGACATTTCAGTTGGACAGCTTCCTTTTGCCTCATTTAATGTTTCTAATCAACCTCAGAGTGGTTTTGGTCCAGTGGTCCAGCTGTAGGTTATTTTGACAACACGACTAGAATCAATATACATCCTCAAATCCCTCATCCATTCAAAAAACCAAAGGAGGAAGTGTAGGACATTATAATAATATCACACTATCACACCATGCGCAACTATCACTGCTGGTAATAATCATTTTCATAATCATAGTCATAATAATATATCTGTATCTTTCAAGTGGCATACTAAGGAGCAGTAATACTACATAAATGATAAATTAGGCATTACTAATACCTTAGTAATGCTTAATAGTGTGACATTATTATAAAATACTACTGAAAAAGAAAGACATTCATGAGAGCAAAGATGCTTGAGACTGGATCACAGCTATGATTGAGGAACTTTTCTTCCAGGTCCCAGACAGACAGGAAACAGGCAGCCACAGAGACACCAAAGTATTCCCACTCCACGCTGAACTTTCTTCCTGCACCTTCACCTCTGCAGCTTTGTAGTAAAGAAAGTTAGACAGTTCAGCATAGACTAGCTATAGGCAAGAGCTTCTAATACTAAATCAAAATCAATAGCATACCTACTGTCAGATTTCTCTCTGGTGTTATTTTATCCATTATGTCCATCAGCACTGTTGGCTCTATTCTTCCAGCCATGGTGCACTGGTTGTTTTGAACAAGCAAAGCAATCAAAGACTGGGGAAGATGCTGATGGTCTGCTCTACTTGTACCAGTCAGATACTCTTAGTGAAATGTTAGAGAACATTAACCTCTGCATTAGAATCAGAGAAACCATTTCCTTGCAAGTCCATATCAGTGAGCCCGGTTCCTGTCAGTCTCAGGTTTCCTGCATGTTTAGGAAACTGAAGTCAGTGACATCGTGGAGAAACATCGAGATCTTCCTGCCATTAAGCAGTGGAGGGAAAACACTCTTCTGCTGCACGAGCTGCAAAACTCTTTTTTTAAAATGGCTGATTTCACAAACAGGGTTTCCGAGGCATTAAAGGGGAAAAAGGTGAACCGGGCTTGCCAGGCCTGGACGGGCTGGATGCCCCTTGCCCTGTGGTATGGTGCTCTTTCTTTCCCTTTACTAGCATGCCTTTAGCTACCCTCAACCACACTCCTCTTTATGGATCCTACAGTGCATCGCTGTAAACAACAATATGCACTTTTGCATGATAGTTTAAATTTATTGTAATCAACTCACTGCTTCCTCTACAATATGGTGAGACAACATAACATAATCAAGAGTGATTATAACGACTAAAAACCTTTGAAACATAACATCACGTACAATTGTGACTAATACACCAACCTCGGATCTAAAACCTTCACAGTGTTATTTTCAAATATAGTAATGCCTTTAGTCATGGTTTCTTACACTGTTTCTTGCATGGGGCATTATTCTTCCCTATCTACAAGGCAATAGACTACCACAGGGAGTGAAAACCAGCCACAGGGGCCAGTAGCCACCATGTGCTATTTCCAAGCCCGGATACATGGGCAGGGTTGCATCAGAAAGGCATCCATTCTTTATGATCCACAAACATGTGGATTTAGTGTGTCCTCTACACAGGAGACTTGTTGATGGAATATAATCCTGGCTTAATTTTCATTTTCTAAAATATTTAAAAGTAGAATGGGAGGCAAAGCCTTCAAATTTCAGACCCCTCTTCTGTGGAACCAGCTCCCAGATTGGATTCGGGAGACAGAGGATATAGTTAGGGCTTTCTTACACTGCAATGGGTCTAGGCTACTTCCCATGATGCATGGAGTGTTTCAGTGTTTCTTGTTATCTCACCTTTTTCACTCTCTATGTGCTCACACACCGCTCTCCATCTAATTATTAGTTCTTATTAATCTCTGGCTGTCTTTCCCATCGTGTCTTATTTCTTTCCTGTCACCCCCAACTGATCCCGGCAGATGGCCGCCCCTCTCTGAGCCTGGTTCTACTGAAGGTTTCTTCCTGTTAAAAGGGAGTTTTTCCTTCCCACTGTCATCAAGTTCTTTCTAAAAGGGGGTTGTTTGATATTTGGGGTTTTCTATTATTGTAGGGTCTCTATCTTACAACCCTAAGTCCCTTGGGGTGACTGCTGGTGATGAGGTTCAGAACTGAATTGAATTAAATACAGGATAGTATTCAAGGGATAGGTTCAAGGTAGGGGTGAGATCAGCAGTGATGGGCTCTGAGCCGCTTGTTATTTGCAGTGGTGATGGAAAGGTTGACCGGTGAGCAGGCAGGAGTCTGTCTCTGACTGTGATGATTGTAGACATGATCTACAGTGAGAGGAAGGATTTATTCACTGGAGGGAAAATACATGAATTCTCTAGTACTAAGTTGAAGTCCATGTATGTGAATGAGGGGAGACGGGTGAAAAAGAGTAAAGAAAAGAGATTTGCTAATCTGTTTATTTAATGTAGTCATGAATCTGTTAATCTGTAAAGCAAACTGATTAGGTCTTCTTGATTGCCTTTCCACAGGTAAGGCTTAGACTTTATTATAAAATCTACAGGGTGAGCCAGTTATATGGATACACCGTAATAACATGGGAATGGTTGGTGATATTAACTCATTCACTGCCATTGACGTCTATAGCCGTCAATGGCAGTGAATGAGTCAATGGGTTTAACTCATTCACTGCCAATGGCTGGCAGTGAATGAGTTAAAGTCCTGTTTGTGGCACATTAGTATATGTGAGGGGGCAAACTCCTCAAGATGGGTGGTGACCATGGTGGCCATTTAGAAGTCGGCCATCTTGAATACAACTTTTGTTTTTTCAATAGGAAGAGGGCCATGTGACACATCAAACTTATTGGTAATGTCACAAGAAAAACAATGGTGTGCTTGGTTTCAACGTAACTTTATTCTTTCATGAGTTATTTATAAGTTTCTGACCACTTATAAAATGTGTTCAATGTGCTGCCCATTGTGTTGGATTGTCAATGCAACCCTCTTCTCCCACTCTTCACACACTGATAGCAACACCGCAGGAGAAATGCCAGCACAGGCATCCAGTATCCGTAGTTTCAGGTGCTGCACATCTCGTATCTTCACACCATAGACAATTGCCTTCAGATGACCCCAAAGATAAAAGTCTAAGGGGGTCAGATCGGGAGTCCTTGGGGGCCATTTAACTGGCCCACAATCACCAATCCACTTTCCAGGAAACTGTTCATCTAGGAATGCTCGGACCTGGCACCCATAATGTGGTGGTGCACCATGTTGCTGGAAAAACTCAGGGAACGTGCCAGCTTCAGTGCATAAAGAGGGAAACACATCATCATGTAGCAATTTCAAATATCCAGTGGCCTTGAGGTTTCCAGTGATGAAGAATGGACCCACTATCGTTGTGCCCCATATACCACACCAAACCATCACTTTTGTTGGTCCAACAGTCTTGGCGGGATCCATCCAATGTGGGTTAGTGTCAGACCAATAGTGGTGGTTTTGTTTGTTAACTTCACCATTCACATAAAAGTTTGCCTCATCACTGAACAAAATCTTCTGCGTGCACTGAGGGTCCTGTTCCAATTTTTGTTTTGCCCATTCTGCAAATTCTGTGCGCCGATCTGGGTCATCCTCGTTGAGATGCTGCAGCAGCTGGAGTTTGTAAGGGTGCCATTTGTGAGTAGCTAATATCTGCCGAAGGGACGTTCGCCTAATGCCACTCTCCCGTGACATGCGGAGAGTGCTGCGCTGTGGGCTCTTGCTGAATGAAGCTAGGACAGCCACTGATGTTTCTTCATTAGTTTTCTTGCATCCACATTTTGGCAAATCCAACACTGAACCATATGTTTGTGAAGGTTCTCAGTCATCCAGGTCATCGTAGTCAAAGTAGCTTGCAAAGAAAAGCGTCTGGACTTCTTTAAGTTGCTTGAAGACGTTTCACCTCTCATCCGAGAAGCTTCTTCAGTTCTAAGGTCAAATGGTGGAGAGTCCCAGATATAAACCTAGTGGGAGTGACCCCCCACAGAGGGACAAAAGGACCCCCTGATGATCCTCTAATCGCCTGAGCCAAGGTGTGAAATTGGGTGTGGGACCCAATCAACCAGAGTTTCGGGTGTGTTCATTGTGAAACCTGGCCCCACCTTATCATGCGAATTCCTGAGGTCAGATGGCCCAGGATGTGAGTGGGCGTTAAGGCGTCAGGGAAGGGATCTCAAAACTGGATTATAGATGGCAGAGAGTTGGTGTCGTAAACCCCCGCCTCTGTTCAAAGATGGTTGCTCACAGTGGACATAGATGGCTTCTTTCACTCCTCTTTCAAACCATCTGTCCTCTCTGTCCAAAATGTGAACATTGGCATCCTCGAAAGAGTGTCCTTTATCCTTAAGATGCAGATGGACTGCTGAGTCTTGTCCTGTGGAGGTGGCTCTTCTGTGTTGTGCCATGCGCTTGTGAAGTGGCTGTTTGGTCTCTCCAATGTAGAGGTCTGAGCATTCCTCGCTGCACTGTACAGCATACACCACATTGTTAAGTTTGTGTTTTGGCGTTTTGTCTTTCGGGTGAACCAGTTTCTGTCTGAGTGTGTTGCTGGGTCTGAAATACACTGGGATGTCATGCTTGGAGAAAACTCTCCTCCTTTTTCTGATACACCGGCTACATAGGGGATGACAATGTTGTTGCGTCTGTCCTTCTTATCCTCCTTCGCTGGTGTCTGGTCTTCTTTTCTGTGCCTCTTTGCTGACTTTGAGAACGCCCATTTAGGATAGCCGCACGTTTTGAGTGCTTCCTTTACATGTGTGTGTTCCTTCTTTTTTCCTTCAGGCTTAGAGGGAACATGTTCTGCCCGGTGGTGTAGGGTCCTAATTACTCCAAGTTTGTGTTCCAGAGGGTGATGGGATTCAAAAAGGAGGTACTGGTCCATGTGTGTGGGCTTCCGGTAAACTTCGATGTTGAGTTTGCCGTTCTCTTCAATGTGCACAGCGCAGTCCAGGAAAGGCAAACAGTTGTCCTTTGTGTCTTCCCTGGTGAACTTGATATTTTTATCCACAGCGTTAATGTGCGCAGTGAAGGATTCCACTTCTTGTGTCTTGATTTTGACCAAGGTGTCGTCCACATATCTGTACCAGTGGCTGGGTACTCTTCCTTTGAAAGAGCCAAGAGCCTTCCTTTCCACTTCCTCCATGTAAAGGTTGGCTACAATAGGTGACACGGGGGAGCCCATGGCACAGCCATGTTTTTGTCTGTAAAAGCCTTCGTTGTACTTGAAATATGTAGTGGTGAGGCAGAGGTCTAACAGTGTGCAGATTTGATCGGGTGTGAAGTTGGTCCTGTCCTCCAAGGAGCTGTCTTCTTGTAGTCGTTTTCTGACAGTCTCCACGGCCTCCGTGGTGGGTATGCAAGTGAAGAGAGAGACTACATCAAAGGACACCATGGTTTCATCTGGATCCTCTGCCATCTATAATCCAGTTTTGAGATCCCTTCCCAGACGCCTTAACGCCCACTCACATCCTGGGCCATCTGACCTCAGGAATTCGCATGATAAGGTGGGGCCAGGTTTCACAATGAACACACCCGAAACTCTGGCTGATTGGGTCCCACACCCAATTTCACACCTTGGCTCAGGCGATTAGAGGATCATCAGGGGGTCCTTTTGTCCCTCTGTGGGGGGTCACTCCCACTAGGTTTATATCTGGGACTCTCCACCATTTGACCTTAGAACTGAAGAAGCTTCTCGGATGAGAGGTGAAACGTCTTCAAGCAACTTAAAGAAGTCCAGACGCTTTTCTTTGCAAGCTCCTTTGACAACACTGAACCAGTTTCACGAAACTTAGCAAGCAGTTTGCTAGCTGTAGCATGGGAGATAGGTGGTCCCGTAGGGTGTCTTGTATTGAAATCTGCTGCAATGACCTCGTTACTGCGTTCACCAGATATCAACACAATTTCGATCCGCTCCTCACGTGTTAACCTCTTCGACATGTCAATGGCTGTGAACAAAGAGAAACTTGTAAATAACTCATGAAAGAATAAAGTTACGTTGAAACCAAGCACACCACTGTTTTTATTGTGACATTACCAATAAGTTTGATGTGTCACATGACCCTCTTCCTATTGGAAAAACAAAAGTTGTATCCAAGATGGCCGACTTCTAAATGGCCACCATGGTCACCACCCATCTTGAGGAGTTTGCCCCCTCACATATACTAATGTGCCACAAACAGGACTTTAATATCACCAACCATTCCCATGTTATTACGGTGTATCCATATAAATGGCCCACCCTGTATTATTCCTTTCACAGTCTGACAACTGAAAAGGCTCAGTCTGAATCACAGCAGCCCGTGTGTTAAAGCAAATATATCTCTAAGTATAGAGGCACCTAAAATTCTTGGTTTTCCTTTTTGTGAAGGAGACATCAAAGTTTTATCTGTCACATACTTTTGGAAAAAAAATTGGGAATCGGTGAAATATTAGGTATGTCCCAATTCATAGGCCGCATCCTTCTGAGGCCGCATTTGTAGGCCTATTACGTCACAGCGACACGACAAGAGCTGTCCAAATTCGGCCCATGAAGACCGCAAAGACCAGGTCCTCTGAAGGATGCGGCCTATGAATTGGGAAATAGCTGTTGACTTTACCTGCTTATTGTAGCAAAAGTCTGTAAATGCCATAATATGCATGGTTGTTGCTATGGTGATAGTGTTTTTCTGTACAACTTGCAACAGCTGTAGTCCCAGATTTCATCCTGAAAGGACACACAAATGTAATTTCATCAATGAAAACTGCAGAAATAAATACTGTTTGTACCATGTCAACATATCTCAGGTTGCTTCCGCTCTTCCAGCTGTATTTGTTTCATTAGCATTGATACAAACTCAGTGCTGACATTTATAATTCTTCACAGAATAGCTATTGTTCAGGTTTAAACTATTTAGATGTAATTATAGAGTCGTTTTCAGGCCTGAAGGAATCTACAAAATCTGCATGAGTTGCACTTGTAGAATGCTGGGTGGTCAAAATGTGTTTTTATTTTCATATAATTGTAAAATGATTCAATATACTGTCCATTGTTGCTTCTAATATTGTCTCTTTTTTACTCTACATGTTCCAGGGAGATGATGGTTTACCTGTACCTGGATGTTGGAATAAAGTACGTTTGTCACAGCATTGTGTTTTTGCCTGACATGCTAACTTCATGGGGAACATTGTGTGACCTAACAACTAACATTTTGCCTTTTGTTTTTCCTTGCAGTGACGATAACTTTGGAATGGCTTGTGTGATGTACATAGGATATTTATTTTTTTTACTATTACTATTCTATTATACATGGAAAAAATAAATATATATGGCAATTTTGTACATATTGTTTATTTTAATAAATATGACGGTGTGTATGTAATGTTTTTTATATATCTATGCATTGTTTTATATGATTGGCTAAGAAAAATGATAATGTGACTGAATTTGCATTTTGTGAAGAGAATAATGCTCTTTAACTTATTGCATTATGTTTTGCTCTATTGTGATAGACCATGCTGCACTGGGATGTGGGGCTGGCAACATTTCTAATTTAGCCTTGGAAAGTCTTGGTTGAACTCTCCTCTGACAAAGTGTTGAAAACTATAATAATGAGAGCAAGCGCTGCATATAGACTAGTTTAAATTTTACTATATGTTCACACAGGGACAGGAAGCTATTTTAAATGTGCACTTTGAATTTTAGACTGTTGTGCTCATATTAAACCGAAGAACATGAAGACATAAGAGATCAATCTCATGTTTGTCCAGTAACTACTATACTGCAGTGTCACATATTCACTTCCAGCTTTCCTAGGCATGCTGACCACCACAACTCACACTGTAGGGGATACAGTGTGAGTAGATACAAGCTGAAAAAATGATAAATAACTCTAAATATGTTTTATATTTTAGATCCCACCCCTTGCCTCGCTGAAAGCCCTGCATACCCTTGGCCCTTGGCTCAATGAACTTCATGATGTAGTCACCCAAAATGGTTTCACTTCACAGGTGTGCCTTGTCAGGGTTCATTTGTGGAATTTCTTGCCTTCCTTATGAGGTTGGGACCATCGGTTGTGTTGTGCAGAAGTCAGGTTGGTGCATGGCTGACAGCTCTATTTGACAGAACCAATCAGTTAAGTAAAGAGAAACAACAGTCCATCATTACTTTAAGAACTGAAGGTCAGTCAGTCCGGAACATTGCTAAGACTCTGCAGTCACAAAAACCATCAAGTACTATGACAAAACTGGCTCACATGAGGACCGCCCCAGGAAAGGCAGACCAAGAGTCCCCTCTACTGCTCGGGAAAGAAACACAAGGAATGGACATTAGACCAGTGGAAATCTGTGCTTTTGTCTGATGAGTCCAAATTCAGGCACAATGAACCCGCATGGCTACCACAGCATCCTGCAGTGACATGCCATCCCATCATGTATTCTCTAACAGGGACAATGACCCCAAACACACCTCTAGGCTGTGTCAGAGCTATTTGACCAATAAGGAGAGTGATGGAGTGCTGCACCAGATGGCCTGGCCTCCACAGTCACCTGACCTAAACCCAGTGGAGATGGTTTGGAATGAGATGGAGCGCAGAGTGAAGGCAAAAGGACCAACTAGTGCTCAGCATCTCTGGGAACTCCTTCAAGACTGTTGGGAAACCATTTCAGGTGACGACCTCATGAAGCTCATGGAGAGAACGCCAAGAGTGAGCAAAGCAGTAGTCAAAGCAAAGCGTGGCTATTAGGAAGAATCTACAATATAAAAAAAGTTTTATTTAATACTATTTTGTTTACTATATAATTCCATATTATGTAGTAAACACAAAGGAGAGTGTAACTACCATGATGTCAGCCCGTGAGGTTTGACTCTGGGGATACTGTATTTGGAGTGTAAAATTATCAGCTAATCCTAGCAAGTTTTGGTGGGAAGCTGCATTTCGTGTCAGCAGTGTGCTGGCTTTTAGTGCTAAGTAAAGAACATCAATAAAATAGAATTTCACTCACCAAAACAGAAACAACAACTCTTGTAATATGTAACAAGCCATACTGTTTGTTAGAACAAGCTGCTTCACTTGTTTTTTGCTGTGTAGGATCTTAGTACCATTAGCAAGAATGCAATGCAGCTGCCATATATTTTATTAACTGTATGTTTCAAATCAAATTCTCTGCTGTCCTGCATATTATACATGTAGTTTCATATAGTTTAGAAGTGAGCTAAATGAGAGAGAAGCTGTGTATGGGACAATTAACCTGCAGAAGTTGACTCATGTTATCAGAAGTTTAACATTTTTAGAAGTTTAAAAAAGGGTGTACTCTAAAAGTATTATGTTATTAAATTGAGAAAATAGCTGTTCTGTCTCTTGCATACATACTGCTACAGTATGAAAAAGTATTTGACCTCTTTGTGATATTTATTTATGTATTTATTTTCATATTTGTCTGTAGACGTGATCAGCCACAGTTGTCTGTATCAGCACACAAATCAAAGCAGCAACAACCATTTGGATAAGCCTTATTTATGTAAATTGAAGTTTTTGTAACTGGCTGGCTCTAAGCTGTAAAATTGGTCATTTTAACAGTCGTTTTGTGGGGAATGATAAACCTTTAAGTCACAGTTTTTTGGCCGGTCTGTGTTGCCGTTCCTATTCAGCTGAAGAGGTCGCCCATTGCATTATATCCAGACCAAACTTTGCAAAGTGATGAGTTCATCAGTTAGGAGATCTAAACGTAGAGTGCTGTTAAACTGTTTTTAAGTTATCCAGTATTGCAAAGTGCTTTTAACGCTTATGTCAAGAAAGAGGGCATCAACCAAGATTTTGTAACAATTTTAATTCCAAGAAGATTGATCCTGTAAACTAAATGTCCAATTGCACAACAGGAAAGTAACAGCTCTGTGTTGCTGCTTTGTGTTATTCCTCTACGTTTAGTTCATTCTAAATAGTTTTGTCAAATTCTCCTGTTTTATGACCCTTGGGTTCGGTATCCTAGTGCCGTTTTTTTTTCTAGTATTCACCCCAAACATTGCCACTCTCATTTAAGGCTGCTGCTGCTGCAATCTCCTCATAGTCTCATCCTGTTATGAAGAAAGCTGTAACCTTATTGGACAATGTACATCCTTTTTTTTTAATTATCCACAAACACTTTTTGTAACAGCTGTTCTCATTAACCTCATTAACAACAGTGAGCGGATGAAATTAATCCATTATATGCTGCTCTTTGACAAAGCTTTGTGTGTGATGTGCTCTGCCTGGATTTGAGGTTGCCATTAGAGATTATTGTTGGATCCTTCCCAGCAAATATTCATTGTGTCATTTTGCTGCACCTAAATTAACTTAGTCACCAGTTAGCCTTGTTTTTGCTCTGATATTTATCATGCATACTTGTGCTCAGATATTTAAAATATTTATTTTGTTCAGTGACAGTCATAATTAAGTTTACATTTATAATGATTTGGACTAAAAATAATTTAAGTGTACCCATTAGTTACAGAGTATCACAATCCAAATGGTAGACCCTGTTTAATCTGCGCTCTAGAGGATTGCATTGTTTTATGTTGTGAGGTTGTTGTTATGTCATTAACTTCAGTGCAATCCAGGTTTGAAGAGGTTTAAAACTGTATGTTAATAAAATACGTGGCATTTTTTACTCAAATTCTATGCTGTCCTACATATTATAAATGTAGATTAGTATAGTTATCATCACAGACGGTAAAGAACCAGCCGCTGCACTTGTTTTTCCTGTAATGTTTGACAGAGGTTAAAGGTAGCCCTTTGCCAGTAAAATAGGGAAAACTGCGTGAGCAAAAAAACAAACGGTATACTCTAAAAGTATTCAATTATTCAATCCAAAAAATTAGCTTTTCTACACTCTTACATACACAGTACTGTGAACAAGTATTTGCATCAAGGTATATTTTGTATAGAACTACAAATGTTTATGTCATCAAGTGTTTGCATTGACATGAGTCATATTTAATGCACGTTGGGCTCAGTGCAGATATACACTAAATTGCCAAAAGTATTTGCTCCACTGCCTACACACACATATATATGACCTTGAGTGACGGGTGGGATTTGTGGTGTGGCTGCGGGGGAGACTGATACACTCGAGCTCAATCAGGTCATCATGCCTCCTCTGCATAAAAGACAAAAGAACTGGGTCCTGACGTTGTTGTCGTGCAGCTGCAAAATTGCAGCCGAGTGTACAGAGAACAAGCAACCAGAATAAAAGAGTGTGTGAAAAGTGTTAAGATGTGGTCGAGTTCGTTGTTCCCATGCCACAACATTTTTAATCCATAGGGTTTAATATGATGCTTGCTAGCTTCTGCAGCTAAACAGCTTCAACTCTTCTGGGAAGGCTTTCCACAAGGATAAGATGTGTGTTTATATGAGTTTGTGATCATTCTACACAGAAGTGCATGTGTGAGATCAGACACTGACATTGCAGTCTTGCATTTGAGTTCACTGTCTCTGCTGTAATTCATCCCAGTGTTGTTCCATTGGCTTGAGGTCAGGATTTACGTTGTAAACTGGTGTGCAGTCATGTTGAAACAAGAAGGAGCCATCTCCCAACAATTCCCACAAAGTTAGGAGAATTAAATTGTCCAGAATCTTTTGGTATACAGTGGTTCCTTGTTTATCGCGGGAGTTACATTCTTAAAATAACCCGCCATAGGTGAAATCCGCGAAGTAGCCAACTTTAATTTTTTACAATTATTATAGATGTTTTAAGGCTGTAAAACCCCTCACTACACACTTTATACACTTTTCTCAGACAGGAATGAACATTTTCACGCTTTCACTCTTCTTTAAACACTCTCAAAGTTCAAACCTTCGTAGAGAAGTAAGTCCAGTATTATAGAATGAAACCAAAGATCCAACCCTGTTTTCAGTTCCAACTACAAAGAAAGGAAATACAATCTATGTTTGTTTTCAACAGTGTCTTGCAAACAAGTTCAGGACACTAGGTAACACTGTAATATGCCCGGCGACTAACAGCATGATTCCTCTGTAATTAAAAGGAATTTCCGTGTATTTTATTTGAAATTACAATGTAATTATATTTATATACACATAGAGTTAGACCTCTACAATAAGTAGGGAGCAAGTCAGGCTTTTATGGGAAACAAATAATTAAAGTGCTTAGGAAAAGTGCTTAGGAAATTGTGCAGTACTTAAAATTACTTAAGTATGAAATAAATATAATCTAGCAGCTAAATCTAGCTTAATTTTGAGATATTTTACAGGAAATGAGACAAAAATTATACTGTAAGTACTAAAACTATAGGAGAAATGTATATATGCATATATTGACTATTTAGCCACTTTTATGGCTGGAGTAAATCAGAACTTAGGCAGCAGGAAGTAGGGAAGAGATGTCCAGTACATAAGTTCAGTCGAAATGTTAATATTTCTGCTGCTCTGTTATTTTTATTAAAACTGTGCTCATGTTTAAAGGGTCAACATCCTTTCCAACTGGCAAAGAAGTAGCACTACTGCAGATGATCTCCCACAAGCCACCAAAAGGAAAACTTTGGATATAGTGTTTGCAGTTTTTACCCAGTTGGCTTTTCAACTTTTTCCTGCAGGCTGGGCACAGGGCTAGTAGTGTCAGAGACTCTGGTGGCTATGCTCTGCTGAACACAGTAACCTCAAAAAGACTGGATAGTAGAACATTTGCTCCATGGTGTAGTTGGTCATTGAAGTGTTTCTGGACAGAACAGCAATGCGACTATCACAACCACAGAGAGCTAGAGGTCGAGACTTTACCTGCTGATCTGTTCCACTGACTCATCTATTTATCACCTAAAAAAAGCATGGTCACTTGCAATGTGTTGTGTTTGATTTGAAATCATTACCGTAACTGTGATAAAGAATTCAGAGCAGCTCACAGAGCAGATATATGCCATGTGTTTCCATGAAAAACCAAAATGCAAAGGGAGACCCACTTGATGATTCCTTACTGATACTAGTTGACACACTGCCTTTTTAAAAAGAAAATCCCTTTAACTGCAGCTATGACCATTTTTGAATGATTGTGCTGTATGTATGATGTGTGATACCAGCATCGCACATCATGTTTGTTCTCATATATGATATTTTTTACTTTTTTGTATGAACGCCATGTTCACTGCTGTATATGTATGTATTGTACAAGATGAGAATTTAATGTATAAATGTACGTAGCGTGTAAATGGAGTGCATGAATTAAACATCTTTTAAGTAGTGAATACGCATCACAGTTCTGAAAGGGTGGTATTCATATCTTGACTAATGATTTCTTGAGAAATGTATAATTTGTAAAATACTTTGACCTATTGTTTACCAGAAATTACATAATTTTAACATTTGCATCTTCCATATGTCCAGCCCCGTCACTTATTCTGGCTCAGAAAAGTCACATTTGTTACCCATTATATTGAAATGTAATTACTCTTTTTCCATCTAAAAACAACACAGCTTAAATCTTTTTGCTCATTTGTTACTGTACATTGAGATAGCATAAAATGACTTGTCAGCATTTCACCTTCCTGTTATTGTAGTTCAGATGTACAGAAGCATTCCATGTCATCCTGACAGCTGCCATGTAAACAGACTCGGGTCAAAGTCGTATTTTATTTTATGGGGATTTTTCAGTTTTGGAGTTCATTAGTAAAAGAATGATGTTTGATTTTTTTCATTGGGTACAAGTGCACCTGGAAAATTATAGTTATATTTATTAAAATTTAAAACGAAATTATGAATCACGTAGCTTCAATCAATATTATTTTAAACATAAATCATAAGTGTCAACACTACGGAAGCGTAGAGCTGCCATCCAGGCAAAAGAAAATTCGAGCTATATGACATTATAACATGAAAACTTTATTGTATATACTCACATTTGAACAACATAATATCACATATTAAAACATACATAATTATCACGTTATAACAAAAATGATAACTATATAAATTTTATATTGTAATAATGTGATAATATGTTGTTCAAATGTGAAAAGTATATTGTTAGAACAATAAACTTTTCACGTTATAATGTGATATGGCTCTATTTTTCTTTTGCCTGGCTGGCAGCTCTATGCTTCTATGTAATGCAGCTTCAAAAAAAAAACCAATACTAGTAAAGAAAAGACTTCTATCACATTTATTTCTTTTCTGACAGTGCTGTCTATGAAATAATGTTGTTGTTTCATTTAAATGGGTTAAATATTGTGTTTGTTTTCTTTGGTTGTCAAATAATGTTGTTTATTAGCTAATCATATGCTGTTTTGTTTATTTGATTTTTTTTTTTTTGAATTGGTGTTTTATTTATTTAACTGTTTGTCTATTAGATCTGGATCTTTTGTCTAAAACTGCATCCTCCACCAAGTCCATTTTTGCAATCTCCAAATAACCTTCTGGTTGTGCAATGTATATTGTGTATTATATAATCAGTTTTATATGTTTAGTTGCATCATTGGTTTATCTGCTTATAAATCTAATTACATTTGTCCCTTAGCTGTACTTATTAAGGTTTTGTAGACATGCAGCCCCCATCCACATGATGCCCCAGTTATACAGGCCTTTGTACCAGTCACTGACCCCCCGACAACCACCTGTTGCTAGGGAAAATGTGTAATGCCCAACTAGTTTGCAAAACCAGTGGACTTATCTACAAGCTCTGGTTAGCTACTTTCCTAGCTGTAGTGAAACTATGAAGAGGGCAACACAAACAGGAAAGTTGTACCTCCACCCAGTAAGACAACAGTTTTCAGAAACCACTGCCAACCAGTCAGGAAACAAACATTTTCCTCTGGTAATTTGTGACTTTATCAAATCCAGTATCCAGCAGGAACTCTTTGGCAATATGTGCATTACTTAAGATGATACACTTCAATAACCTGATCACTTAAGCTGCAGTGTCCTGAGTTCTCAGCCATAAGGCAGAAGATATAATTGTTTGATGATTTGTTTAAAAGTACTTGTTCTAATTTATGTTACAGTTTTCAGCTATGTTTTCTTTCAACTTGCATTCAATATGTTTCCCCTTTTTTGTGCTGTAACAGATTTTGTATCTAAAAAATATTTAGCGCTTTCTGTTTTAAGCCTCTACATTTCTGTTTTTTGACTTTATCTGATTTTTTGTTTGCATGGTTTATTCAAAGTACCAATTTATTACTGATACGTTGTTGCAACAAAAGGCTAATGACTAATCTTGTTGCAGGAATTTGTTTTATGCAACATAAGAACAATGTGAACATATACAATACAGGTTTTGATTAACCATCTGTAAGTTCTTCTAGAAAAGCTGAAAAGTAGTACTTTACATGATAAGTGCACAATGCAATTGTTGGCAAAGCTCTAACCCAGCAACATGTGTATGTAACATCTACAGTGGGGCAAAAAAGTATTTAGTCAGCCACCGATTGTGCAAGTTCCCCCACTTAAAATGATGACAGAGGTCAGTAATTTGCACCAGAGGTACACTTCAACTGTGAGAGACAGAATGTGGAAAAAAAAATCCATGAATTCACATGGTAGGATTTGTAAAGAATTTATTCGTAAATCAGGGTGGAAAATAAGTATTTGGTCAATAACAAAAATACAACTCAATACTTTGTAACATAACCTTTGTTGGCAATAACAGAGGTCAAACGTTTACTATAGGTCTTTACCAGGTTTGCACACACAGTAGCTGGTATTTTGGCCCATTCCTTCATGCAGATCTTCTCGAGAGCAGTGATGTTTTGGGGCTGTCGCCGAGCAACACGGACTTTCAACTCCCGCCACAGATTTTCTATGGGGTTGAGGTCTGGAGACTGGCTAGGCCACTCCAGGACTTTCAAATGCTTCTTACGGAGCCACTCCTTTGTTGCCCGGGCGGTGTGTTTTGGATCATTGTCATGTTGGAAGACCCAGCCTCGTTTCATCTTCAAAGTTCTCACTGATGGAAGGAGGTTTTGGCTCAAAATCTCACGATACATGGCCCCATTCATTCTGTCCTTAACACGGATCAGTCGTCCTGTCCCCTTGGCAGAAAAACAGCCCCATAGCATGATGTTTCCACCCCCATGCTTCACAGTAGGTATGGTGTTCTTGGGATGCAACTCAGTATTCTTCTTCCTCCAAACACGACGAGTTGAGTTTATACCAAAAAGTTCTACTTTGGTTTCATCTGACCACATGACATTCTCCCAATCCTCTGCTGTATCATCCATGTGCTCTCTGGCAAACTTCAGACGGGCCTGGACATGCACTGGCTTCAGCAGCG